CTTTTGTTCTTCTCGTATCCAGGATGGCTGTTTTAATTCTTTAACTTTGGTCTACTGTAGTTTTTTGCGAAGTTTCCTCTTACGGAACTTTTAATTAGAATGTGGTGATGGAATATTGTGTTATAGGACAGTTTTTTTTATTTGCAATATGCAATGTCTGCCGTTACACTCTTTGTTGGTATTTCAAGCCTTATGGTCTTTAGGCAACTTTAGGTTGTACCTGAGGTTAGCTGAGCCTTTTTTACGCATTTATTCGTTTCTTTTTCGCAATTGTCGGTGGAACCGCTGCTGCGATGCCAAATGCTGGAGCCTCCCTTTGAAGTAAACATTTTTAGGTACACATGACGTCCTATTTAAAAGACCTTCCTATTCCTGTTTTGTGAATGTCCTCAACCACCCACAATACTCTTTGATTTTGCATGCATTCCAATTTAGTGATAAGGGTCGGGAAGTTGTTTTTGTTCATTGTTATGCATGTGAGGCTTCTGTTTGCCTCCTCAATTGAAGACCGCGTTTGATCTCTCTGAAATACACTAATTGAAAGGGCCAGTAAGTAAGCATCAAGTACTGTGTTGCTGGAAGAGCCAGTCTCAGTGCACGGCCTTGAAGAGTTTAACAAACTACTTCAAGGTCATCACCTGGTACCAACAGAAGTAAGAAAGTAAATTGCCATTTTGTCACTTGTGCTTGGCTGGGCAGTAGGGGTCGGTTTGTTGACTTCCCCACTTTTTTGCTTTTGCTGCATTAAGATCCGGACGACCATGGGATAGCTGTTGCAAATTTTCCTCTTCCCTCAACCTCCGGTGGATACACACGTGGGGTTTTGATATCACTGATTTTGGATCTTGTCAAAGCTGTTGGCATTGTGTTTGCACTCTCCTTCATCTCCTCCTCCTTCTCCACCTTCGTAATTCGTGAGCGACAATGCGGCTTCATGGCAATGCAACTGCTGGCTGGACAGAGTCGAGTGGTCTATTGGGGCATGTCCTATCTGTGGGATTTCGTCTCCATCATCGTCCCCATCACCATCATCGTAATTGTCTTTGTTATCTTTAATGAACAGGCCTACATTGGAAGAGATCATGTTGGAGCCTTTATCGTCCTCATGCTAATCTACGGTCTTGCAATCACTCCTCTGATGTACTGCTTCACATTTGCCTTTCATGTTCCATCGGTGGCGTTTGTTACCTTACTTGCAATTAACATAATAATTGCTACGATTACAGCTGTGATATATCACATGCTTGACCTCATATCCTATGAGAATCCCAGTGTTGAAGTAGCTGTTCAAGTGTTGGACAAAGTTTTCCTCATCTTTCCTCAATTCGCTTTCTGTCGGGGGTTGTATGAGTTGGCCAAGCGCTACACCATTCGTCAACAGGGATTGGAGCATCTCATTGATGCCTACGGCATCTTTGACTGGCGTGCATTGACAGAAAAACTTGTTGCAATGCTAATTGAAGCGGTAGTCTTCTCGGGCCTGGTTCTACTCATCTCTTACACCAGTGGAACCGGCATATGCGAGAAATGTTGGAGGCGTTTGAAGAAGACGCGGATAACCATGGCAAGCGGTCTCGATGATGACCCCAGATCAACAATCAGCGACGATGTCATGGAGGAGATTAAACGTGTTGAAAATGTAAGTCCACTAATTTACTTACCCAGTCTGTAAGCTGAAAGT